TGGATTCGAACCCGCCACCTTACATGTATGTGGCTGGTGCCTTAGCCACTTGAGCCACAGGCATGGAGCCTCAGCATCCATTTTTAAAAACCTTTAAAGAAACATATAAAATGGAGAAGGGCAAGTATTGAAGAAGAGCTGGAAGAAAGACTTTTTTTTAGAGGTAAAAATGTTAATAGCAGGGAACTATAGAAAACAAACTCAGGAATAATTCTTTGAATAGAGCACACTGTGGGAGGTGACCAGAATGCAAGTTCTAAGAAAACATTGAGATGGGATTTAATGAAATTACCTTGCACTGTCACTTATTTCCCTAGCTCTTTTTTGATGACACTTTGCATCATCCCACAGAGGTTTCATGTGATGCCACAAAACATTTGTGTGTGGCTAGTCTCAGAAATAGACCTAGGAATGCAATGCTTTTATTCATCAGCAATGAAGGCCACTGTCAGCCCTGGGCAGGTGCTGTTCTGCCGGTTTGCATACCTGTTGTTTTGCTAACATTTTTTCTTTTATTTCTAATTCCATTTTTAACTGTCTTTCCAGAAGGGCAGCTTTCTTCATGACAGTTGCTATAGTAATCTCCTTCTGATGCAGCTCTTCAGTTAGGGCACTGATTTCATTCCTCATTCTTTCCTGTTCAGAGGTATGGTACTCTTCCTCCTGTTGGAGCTGGTTTTTAATCTGTAGCAGATAGAGAGCAAAAATATTAATGAATCCCTTTTATTTATAGAGCAGCTTAAAGCTTGTATTGGCCATGTTGGGTCCTGCTGTCCTAAAGTTTCGCAGGCTCCTTTTCTGGTCAGTACTAAATTAAAAACAGATACTTATAATAATGATTAAGTTTCCCCTTCAAATTCCAAAAATTCATTTCTCATTTCTATTTTCTATTGCATGCAAATCACTCTACTGATACTATTTTGACAAGAAGTTAATGAATAATCAGCACTTTTTATGAAGAAGAACTTGTCTTAAGGAGGTTAAATGACTTACTCAAAATCATAAAGATTAAAAACTGGCAGAGCTTGGATTAGAATTTAGGGCTCTTGGCTTCGAATTCAGTTCTTTTTTTGACTAAATTAGGCATACTGTTTGTGACTAAACACTATGTTTTTCAGAATCATGTTACAATAAATTTGAAACAATGTGTTCATGAAACTATGTCACCTCTTCCTTTTTTTTT